GTTAACAGCAGTAAAACACAGCCTACCTTGATCTCTTTCTCAGGTATCAATCAGTCCATCCGGGGCTTGCCAGGCTCAGTCAAACCTGCTCGACAACTTACGCCAACTGCTTAGCTGAACACGTTTTAACCAAACTGAGAAAGTGTAGACCCTACCTTTCCCTTCTTACCCTCAAAATTTCCAAACTGTACCAAACTTGTCACGGTAAAGCAAGGATTTTCAGGGCAAGGGCAATTTTTAGGTCTAGTCTATAGCTACGCACGGCAAATGTGACGTCAATCCTACAAACATTCCCATTTAGGGCATTCACCAGCTTTAACGCGGAAATAGAGCGTAACTGCAAGCGATTACATCTCAGACAAATTAAAGACATGAAGCACAAGCTGCAACCATACGCGTCTGATTCACATTTGATCGTGTGTAAAAGTCGGTGCATGGGTGCCGATTGGCTTCGCTGCTTATGGCAACACATTACATGGATAATATTTCACTGTACAACGTGCTAAAAATTGTACCAGCTTATGCTTAAAAGATTCTAGTCCTTGTCTATCTGAATATATGGTTGTACAATAATCATCAAAACTATATTATCTAGTAATACTAGTGTGATCCTCACTCAGTAATGTCACGGCTTTTTTTTTATATAACATGTGTCGACACCATTTTATTGTGCGTACATACCACTACTCCACAACTCTTAAACACATTTTGATTTAAAAATTATTACTTATGACAGGTGCATTGATGCACTATTACATGATTGTCCGGCCAGCAGGAAATAAACAACGTTCTCTTAGCCGGAGGGCCATTATTAATCACTTTATAAAATATTCAGTCTTCATGCGTCGCATCCTAATTATCGCTATTTTCGAGGTGAGCCTTTTCTAGGAGCGGCCAAAACATACACTTAGACATGTCAACAAACGTTCGATGATTGGGCTGTTTAGTTTTTTACATTTCCAAAACGTTCAAGGATATTATAATGCTTTGTACATGTAGTCTATGTTTCTGACGCCAAGAAATATCTGTAAATGTGTAAATCATGTACATTGCCCTGTCTGACTACTAGAAAAAGTCATTGTTCCAGATCACGTGGCCACTAACTACAACAGGTCCAATGTAGCTGAGGTCACGGTCGCGTTCGGGTTCGGTGATCTTTTCTGCTGTGTCAAACTTTGTTTGTTGCTTTCTGTGGAAAAAAAGAGAACTCACATATACAACGTAAGCAGAGAAGAGTAGGGCAAAAACTAAGACATACACAGATTATGAAATTGTGATTCAATACAAGACGATTTGTGTTATCATTCCAAAGCGTACCTTCCCAAGTTCTCGGCGTCTTCGAGTGTATCCGGCAGAGGGATTCCGAACGTCTCCGGCAGACTGAAGACTCCGGCGCCGCCCAGAATGCTGAGAACCCCGAACGTGAGCATGGGGAGGGGCGGCCGCACGTCAGCCAGCAGGGACACGAACGGGGACAGGATGCCGCCCACACGGGACGACATGTTGGCCACGCCCACACCCATCGTCCTGAAGAAACAGAAATTAGATTGTATTAGCTTCATCCTTTTTAGGATTGCCAAAGGACGAAGTCTGTCTATAGCTAGCATTAGGACAACATAAACTTTGGGGTTGGTCATACACGTATACGAGTTATCGCTGTTTTTGAGTCCTTGAATTCTGAGGGCGCAACGTAGTGATTGAGCTAATGAGAGAGCAAGTGAATTCACAATTCAACTTCGTGTTTGGTGATCCTACCTGACGACAGTGGGGAAAACCTCCGGGGTGTACACCATCAAAGTGTTGAACGCGACTCCGATGGCACACCGACCGGCCAAGGAAAGGTACCGAATAACTTCCTGCATAGCTGCAACATATGCCATAATGCCTTGTCAATTTAGATACACTGAAGTCAAGAAATCATGCATTGGAAAGATGTCGAAACATTGAGGGAGAAGTGCAAACAAACGTTCACGTGGATAGGAGGCGTCGGTAGATTTTTCTTCCTATGTCTCATAAGTCATGTTTTCGAAGAGGGAGAAACTAAAGACTGTCACCACGTACGTAAACATTATCATTGCCGGACATAAGCTATACTGTATAAAGGATTGTGTGTGTGCTCACTTGTTGGAGTTGCTGCCACTGCCAGACAGGCGGCTCCTGACAGGAACAGATATCCACCAACCACAGGCCTCCTCCCCCACTTCTCCATGGCAACCAAACCCACAAGAGACAGCCCGATCTCCAGCAGTGCTCCCAGGACGAAGTTCAGGTAAGGGTCACCAGCCAGGTCGGCAGAACCGATGATCAAGGCATAGTACACGACCACTGTGGCAAACCTACCAAACGGACAAGAAAGCAAGGCGTAAAAAACGAATTGTGTGTCATTTTGTGTGCCATTCCTGGGAAAAGGACTGGACCGAATCGTTTAGCAGCCTTTGACCCAGTGTTGACGTCACGCCTCCGGGAAGCCAGGTGACAAGTATCACTGGGTCAGTTTACTGAGGAAGACCAGAGTGACTGGTAACTTACGTCAGAACATTTTACTAATCTCCAAGCAGATTCTAGACTCCTCTTGGCCCACAGAATCTGCTTGGATTCATTAGAAGTTTTGCCTCCGCAGAAAATATTGTCCATATAAACCATTGAAAATTATTGTTGTGAGGTCTTCCTTTTGAGCACACATTGTGCCTTTTAAGCTATTACAAGAATGTACTTACCAGACTGCAGACATCGTTATTGTACTCATCCTCAGACGAGGACCCCGGAACAGGTCGATCAAACTGTACTTCTTGGGTTTTTCCCCAGGTTCATTGTCTTTCGGTTTTGTCAGTTTATCGTAGACATCATCTGGAATGGTGACCTTGTTGACCTTGGCAGCCTTCTGAATGTTGATTCTGGCTTCTTTGGTCCGGTTGTTAGTCAGGAGCCATCGCGGAGACTCGGGGAGAAGCCTATAAGTGACAATTAATAAGAAGATTACGGAAATGTGTATTTTGTAAAAACAAAATTTCTACTAAGCGAAGAGACATGTCAAATATGCTGCACATTATAATATGCATGCAAGTCTGCTATGATACCGTACTCAATTGTAACAACGGTACCAAATGAACCAATGAGGTTATATATAATTGAATAAACGTACCACCAGTATGAGAGCATTGGGGCTGATAGTAGAGCCAGGGCCAGCTGAAGGCTCCACCAATCCCGCAGAAAGTACGCAAGGCCTCCGAGAACGACTGTACCCACGGCCCAACTTATTGAGATCGTCATTCCCACCCCATTGCGCTTAGACGAGCCGATAACTTCTATGGCTGGGCACAAAATTGGGAACACGTCAATCATCAATAAAGGCAGGTTTTAAAAAATATTCAAATGTCAAGTGTTTAGTCTTTTTTGCCTAATCTTAATGAATGGAGTAAGATAAAAATTAGACGTAGTCTACCAAGGGTTAAGCCGGCGTAGAAGAGACCATTGACAGCACCGCCGGCAAGCAATCGGAGAACAATGAAGGCGATGAAATCTTTGGTGAAGGCAGCAGCAAGTCCAGAACTCAGCTGCAGCAGGATGCAGGCTAGAACCGTTGGACGGCGCCCAAATCTGACGAAACATACAAACATTGGGATTACTTTTAATGACTGTAACTTCAAGTAAAATGTTTCCACCAGCTGCAGGTACGAGTAGTAGTAGGAGACTGTCGGCAATGAGGGATAGAGTCAACGCATGGTGTATGGAGGAACACAAAGAATGAGAACCATGCAACCATTCGTGCGTAAGCTCCAAGTAGATATTTACTTTGTGCTAGTTTTTTAAAATTTTTTGTGTGCATTTTATTGATGTGTGTGACTGAGTCACTGGAGTCGGAGCATGCATCGATCAAAGCAGACTAAAATCTCAAAGTAAAGAACATTTTAGGCTATTAGTTTCAGATGACTTCTCATGGTGATAATGTGGTGCTATATTTGACATTAGGCAAAAAAATTCCGCAACTTGATTTTCTTTAAATGATCTTCTCAGACTCAGAGAATGAAGACACTTTGCCCAAAATTGCAACATAAAAGTCTTGGCAACATACACTGATGTGTGTCTATACTACAAGGATTTCTATTGTAAAGAAGCAATTTAGTCCACAATGTAGTTGTAAATGTACAAAGTAAAATGTTTTTTAAGCAATGACCCCAGATGCCTTCATGGAATACCATTCCAACTGGCAGATGAAATAAAGATGTGCCACCCCTTTGTACATGACTGGAAAAAAAAACACTTGAGCAGACGGTGAGAACACTGTGTTTCTCTTTTCTTCCAGAGAAAATGAAATGGAACATTTGTACCTGTCCGATGCCGTTCCTGAGATGAGTCCCCCAGCGCTCACCCCCACCATGAAGATGGACTGTCCCAGTTCCTTTAACCAGTGGCGCCCACACACAAGGTCGTACTGGAAAAATGCAAATCATATATTGAATCATTGTTAAAAATATTCAGCGCAAAACAGGGCATTTTGGTCCAACATGCCTGCACTCACGATGGTTGCTTGAGATAGGTAAATGACCGAAAGATGTAAAGCCGCCCTTTTGTTTAGGGTATCATTATTATTATTATTATTCATCATTGCCCCCCCCCCCCGACCCATTTGTGACCGATCAACCATTTGTATGATCTACTTTTAGTACCTCCAGTGCCTTGACCTACAGTCCATGACAGCGACATATAAAACATATAAAATACTGCTGCAGTATCACAAAAAACAGCTAGAATTCCCATGATTGAACTTGACCTTCGTATTCCCCATCCCAAACTACCGACAATTTGCACTATATATGGCGAACTTACCTCTGTGACAACAGTGCTGTGATATATGCTCTGGTCGTACTCCCAGCCGTGGTTACACGATGTTACTGTTTGGTTATCTCCTGTTGCTGTTCCACCAGTTCCGTTGTACATCAAACAAGAGCTGAAACTCCAAGTACCGTCCACATTTTCCATGGGAACGCTGACATTGAGTCTACCGGAAGGGTACATGCCCGATGAGTCGTTGTGGTAGAGCCGGCAGTGGTTCTCGGGAGTGGCCGCCAGAAAAGCCTGGGCGAGCATGGTCGCGCCGACAGACGGACCGACCAGGATGATGAGCACAGCTGCCAGTTTCTGGTACCTGCCGAACTCACCGAGGTACTGCCGCAGTACATCTTCATACTCCATGATGACCAAGACCTAGGACCTTCGTGGTGGTGGAGATTAGTCAAGAGAATTTGTTGGTTAATATATAAACAAATCTCGCATTTTGACAAGGAAAGGGTAAGGTCCATGCAGTCCAGACAACACACGCCCGCAAAATGACCTCTTGAGTTGAATAAACTCTAGTTCTACTAATGCATTGGACCAAGGAGGTTAAATTGAAGTATTTAACTTCCTTGATTGGACTTACACTAACAGGTGTGTCTATGTAGGTTTACATCTATGTGGATGTAACGACTGTCACAGTAAAATGGAAAATGTCAAATTTGTAGAAAATCTAAAATTTTATATAAAATACAGAACTACGCAATTATCTGAAACCTGCAAGAGAATGCTTTTGATTGACATAAAAGGGGTCAGGTAGAGTTGAGGGACAATGGGAAATTATAAGGTGCCCTTGCATACTTTCATGGACAGTGAGCAAGTAGGGCAAGCACAAAAAAGGCTACATTTACACTTTCCCAAAATTCTTTCTTTCACATGTTTGGCATGTGTAGTCACATCTTTTTCATATTTAGGGTATCTCAGTAGTGATCAGGTAGACACACAAGATATTTTACTCAGGTACTCAGGGTTGTCACTGGGGCGAAGCGACCCTGGGCCTAGCCATTGGAGCGAGGCGACCCTGTGCATAGAGAAACTTTCCATGTTCTTTAAGATTTCCATCCGTTTTCTTGCACAAAGATGGGTGCTTTGAGTTTACGATACAACTTATGTAGATCTTAAAGAAAGTTGTCTTATGTTTTATTAATTTTCTGAGAAAGTTATTAGTTTCTTTCGTACCACTAGTGCAACAAGTGTTGAATGATTTCATGTTTGTGTGTATGCTATGGTTAAAACAGGTTTTCCATGATTCGGGGCGGAGGCTTGATGCACCACAAAGCCCGGTCTAAATAGGGGCAATACCATGGAAGGGCTGGTTAGTATCCCTACCTTGGTTGATACTACATATCCCTTTGCTTCACTTAATTACAATGCGCCCATTAATACTTAGGACACAATTGCAACAGTTAACAGCATTAAAACACAGCCTACCTTTGATCTCTTTCTCAGGTATCCATCAGTCCATCCGGTGCTTGCCAGGCCCAGTCAAACCTGTCCGACAAGTTACGCCAAACTGCTTAGCTGAACACGTTTTCTCCAAACTGAGAAAGTGAAGACCCTACCTTTCCCTTCTTACCCTCAAAATTTCCAAACTGTACCAAACTTGTCAAGGAAAGCAAGGATTTTCAGGGCATTTTTAGGCCTAATCTACGCATGGCAACTGTGAGGTCAACCCTACAAACATTCCCATTTTGGGCAGTCAGCAGCTTTAACGGGGAAATAGAGCGTAACTGCAATCGTTTACATCTCAGAAAAATTAAAAACATGAAGCACCAGCTCTGAGAGCAAGAAAACGCGTCTGATTCACATCTGATCGTGTGTAAAAGTCGGTGCATGAGTGCCGATTGCAATTGGCTTTGCTGCTTTTGACAACACATTACATGGATAATATTTCACTGTACAACGTGCTAAAAATTGTACCAGATTATGCTCATACGATTCTTGTCCTAGTCTATCTAAATATATGGTTGTACAATAATTATTTCACTCCATACTTAAGTATGGAGGGAAATACTGTTTTTACTGATGATTCTCCTCCTCCTTCTTCTTCTCCTCCTGCCATTTCTTTAAATTGATTCAATTCCTTCATTTTTGGGGCAAACGACCTGGAATTTCGTATAAAGGTAGAGTGGGTAAATACCCCTAGGCGTTTTTTTATTTTTTTTGATACAAGCTTTTACAATCGTTTTATTTGCGTTTTTAGCTGTTCCCATAGGAAAGTACTGTGGGGCGTACGCGCGTGACGTAATAAGAAAGGAATTCGGGGGCGGGCCCAAATATGGGCATGCAAGCATGAACCTGACGCAGCCTAATCTTTTCTTCTTGCTGATTGGCTGTTGGATTTGATTGGATTAACTCAATTAACACCTGTTCAAAGCCATTCCATTTTGACAGTATGA